ATCGATACCATTTTCGGAGCATGGTGCTCGTCTGGTAGAACCTAAATCCCATTAATTTAGTAGCTTGATTTTTAATATGTTATAATTAACACATGTTTGTATTATTTGACCTTTGTAGACATGAGCAAAAGATGGCGTGCCCCCGACCGTTGTGGAATTGTTCCATTACATACACAAGAAGAGGTCGAGTGGAGATGTTGTATCTACGAATTCGGGGGGAACGTGACCACAAAGTGTAGCCAAGTCATGGTAAGTATATCTATCTATTATAATTGGGTTGCTATTTGCTGGGCAAACATTATAATTTGTTAAGTTAGAAATTACGTGTATATATATATATATATATATATATATCATTATTTAATTTGGGTTGCCATTTGTTGGGCAAACATTAAGATTGTTTAAGTTAGATTTTAAGTATATATCATTATTTAGTTTGGGTTGCCATTTGTTGGGCAAACATTATGATTGTTTAAGTTAGATTTTAAGTATATATCATTATTTAGTTTGGGTTGCCATTTGTTGGGCAAACGTTAGGATTGTTTAAATTAAAAATTACGTATATGTCATTATTTAGTTTGGGTTGTCATTTATTGGGCAAACGTTATGATTGTTTTGGAAATGTCCCATTTACAGCCGTTATGCTGTCAAAATTGACTTGCAATCTTTTTTAAACCATATATAGGATGACTATTCAACTGGTCTCAGCCAAAGATACGACGATGATCCCTCCACCTATCCCTTAGTCGATAAAGAGTTGTGGGAGCAAGCGGTAGGGGGAAGCAAGAAATGTCGTTTATTTGGGTTTGGGTACAACCAAGATCCCAATTGGGTCTTGACTGGGAACTACACAGAAGGTGGTTCATCTTCAGAGGGTCGGTATGTGCATCTTTTGTTTTGATGATGTTTATCGATTTAGTTTATAATTCATATTAAATATTATAATGTTTTATTTATTTTATAGAAAATTCAAACCTTAAAGACCCTACTTAGAGATTTACAAGAACGACAACGGGTGGAGGAGGAGCGACATCGATCGAAGGATGAGCGACGGCGACAGAGGGAGGAGCAACATGATAAACAATTTCAAGATATGGCTACTTTGGTCAGACAGCTCAATCAATCTCAACAATTCCCCCCGCCACCACCATATTGAATATTGTCTTTTTGTTTGAAACAATTTAGTTTTGTATATAACAATTTAGTTTTTGTTTGGTTAGAATAGTTGTAGTTTCACTTTAATGTATGATATTTAGTTATATTTCGCCTTTTTAGTTTCATTTTTAATATTGTACAGATTTACAGGTTTTAAATATTAATTTTAAAATAAATTTAAAATATTTATATTTATATATTTTTTCCGGTGGATTGTCCGCCGGTTATGTTTCTAATATAAAAATATTTTTCTAAAAATTAATATATATATATATATATATATTCTTTCCGGCAGGCATATCTGCCAGTAATTTTTTAAAATTAAAGATATATTCTTTTAAAAATGATTAATATTTTTCCGGCGAGAAATGTTTCCGGTAGATTAAATTAATTTTTTTTAAAAAGACTTAACCATTTTGTTAATTTAATCAATATTTTAAAAATAAACCGGCGAGAAATTTTCGGCGGCCGTGATCTGCCGAAAATGGTAAAATCCGCCGCTTTTTCCACCGAAAAAAAAATCGCCGGCGCCACTTTTTCCGCCGGAAATCACTGTTTACTGCGGATTTCCGGCGGATAATGCCGCCGAAAAAAGTGTCTTGTTTGGTAGTGGTATCAGACATCAACTGGTCCAAACTAGAAGGACTTGTTATTTAAATAGGACAGATTTGAAACTCGAAAGCAACATGTCAATGGTCCATCTTTGAGGCTTCTTATTGGTTTGTTCAGTCAACAAATAAAACAAAAAGAACTACATTTATGTGGACAACATAGCTCTTTTCATTTTTTATTCAATAAATTTCAAAAAACATGGAGAAACATGGAAGAATTTGGAGCTCTGAGTTCCTACCTGAAAGCTCCGTTTATCGTTGATTTGAGGTCAGAGCCGTTCCTGGGGGAAGGCGGGCCAAGCGCACGTCCAGGGCCTACAAAAATTAGGGGCCCAATTTTTTTTAGTATATATAATAGTTAATTCAAAAAAATTGGTAAATAAAAGAGACATAAAAAATTAGTATCTAATAGGACCAGAAAAGATTTTGGTATTACATTAACCGTTAAAGGCCAAAACATGTATTAATTAAATATATTGGAGAAAAAAATACATAAAAAATTAATTTGTCGTTCATTATATAATATTGTTTAATGTTTCTCTAAGTTTTTTTTATCTAATATCGACGTCTAAAACTACTTGTTTTGAAAACTTTGATATATTCTCCATAATTCATCTCCGATCGACTCTTTTAATTATTCCATCCTTATATGAATTCTATTTTTGTGTTAGAATATAATAGATTTTCTTGTTATTAGCTAACAAAACGACTATATTTTGAAAAAAATTACCAACCATATGAGACAATACAACTTCTATTTATATTTAGAATAATAAAACTATAATTGTTTTTCTCGTACTTGTTCTTTATTATATAATATTGAGTGCATACATTTTATGTACTGTTTTATCTCTAAAAGAAGAATAAAATCTCAAACTATAACCAAAATGAGTTTTTTATTTATAAGATTAATAATTTCAGAAAAGTTTGTTTTAACCCTAACACTATGTTCTTGAATCTTCTTTTACGAAGGAAAGAAACGAAAGTAATGAGAGAAGAAAAATATTCCGTTCTCGAGATTTTTTTAGAAAAAAGGAAAAGAAAAAATAAGTTATATAAACCTTAATTAAATGTATCAAATAATTTTTATACAAATAAATGATTTTTGTTATTAACCTGGATATCCAACCCGCTATGTGTGCCGACTAATCCCAGGGCGACCACATGTCTGGAGTCTCCGCATTTGAACCTCTGTGGCCATACGAGGATTTTTATTCCTCTTTGGGTTTGAGCCTGTGACCTCCTGATACCTTTGACCTTTGGAGTCAAGCTCAAACCAATCAGTCACCACCTTTGTGGTTCAAATAAATGAATTTTTTCCATATATAATCTACATACAACAAATGACACAAATACCTTTTATTTTCTTATTTAAATAACATTTTCGTTTGAAAATCTCTCTCTCTCTATATATATATATATATATATAAGCCTAATTAAAGAAGAACTCGGTAGTTTGTGATAACTGTGAGATCTAATGTGGACCAATCATTTAAGATAATTAATGTTATTTCTTAAAATAAAGTAAAACGCTAAATTAGTAATATAATATTTCTAATTTGTATTTAATTTTTAACTTATTTAACTTCTCTCTCTCTCTCTCTGTATGCGTAATAATATACTCCCTCGGTCTATCCACAATCAAAAGAACATAAAGTTCTATACGTGTATAATTACACTCTTTAATCAACCAAATGATAATTGGCCAAAGATCGTGTAAGAAGGAGAGTCAAAGTGAGAGACATAAGAAGAGATTTGCATCCTTCATCACTTTTAATCTCAAAACCATCTATGAATTGCGCTTGATACAATGATTGATCCGGTGCATCCCATCCTAATATGCATTCAATGATAGAGATCATTTCTTACGCTTCTTACTTTAACTTTTATTTTCACTAGAATCCAATCCAAGATAACTCTACCCTTAATTAATTATTAACCTTGCCATATGACTTGTATGTAGCAAATAGGGGGTAAATTAGACAAAAAAGGGGCCAAAAATAGAAAAAACGGTTATATGACTGATGGATATCTATACTATATTATAAAGCATTTGATAAAAATTCTTAAAAATCATTTTTTATGCATGAAGTACCGTATATTGATGGATATTACTTAAAATTCAAGATTACAAATAAATTATGCACAAGTACAACTTACTAAAACTCCATATTTGAATTTGTGTAATTAAATATGGATAAACATAATCAAATAGAGGATAAACATCTTATTTTAAAATATAAAAAATGTAAAATGTAATTAAGATAATTATCGAGTTCTAACAAAATACTTAATTATTATCCTTATAAGAAAATTATATTATTAAACCAAATATAAATTATTTCGTTATTGAACCTAAATTAAATTATAATAAAAAATTAAATTAAATATTACATAAAAAATAAAGAATTTTAAATAGTTAATTTGATACTAATATCAATATTTTTTTTTTCAAGTTTATACTTTATTCAAAAATAAAAATATAATCGTATTTTCAAAATCACATAAAACCATATTATAATATCGAATGAGATAAAAAATAAAATAAAATATTAAAATCAAGATGTATCTCGTTGCATTGCACGAGTACCCTTCTAGCCAGTAATAAAACAATAATATTTTTGAAAAATTGAACCGGCCTCAGACATAGAGATGGCCAAAAACCGGTCCCGGGCCGGACCCAATCGGTCCTAACCTTTCTCATAACCGGCCATAACCGGTCCCGGTCCCAGTCCCGATCGAAAATGATAGGACCGGTCAAGGTACTTCATAACCGGTTATGAGCCGCCGGTCCCTGTCCTTGCATTAAAAAATAAGATTTTTTTTGATTTTTTATTGATATATATTTTTAATACATTATAAAATTTACAATTGGATCACTCAAATATACTTTAAAAATACGTTTTCTTATAAAAATACAATATAAAATTATTTAAAAATACATTTATTTATAATATTATTTGAATTTTTGGGCCGAGCCAAACCGGTCCATAGTCGGTCCTATAACCGGTCCCGATCCCATACCGGTCCTGATCCCGATCCTCCGACGATCCCTGACCGGGCCGGGCCAAGCCGGGCCGTTTTGGCCATCTGACATAACCAATCCCGAACCTTTTATTTTTAACGAAAACTATAACTGGTCCCGACTCCCGAGCAGGACCGGGCCTATTCGACGGTCTCTAATTGGGACGGAGGGAATGGTATAAGATAAAAGGGAGGAAATGAATGGCCGAGCAAACCCTCGGAATAATGAGCTCAGTGGGTGGCGGTTTTGGCAATGGCGGAATCTGGGGAATGCGGCCTTTCGATTCTCAAAATGGAGATACAGTTAGAAGAAGGAATTCACCCAATTCGTCTGGTTCATCCGAGGCTTCCGGACAAGCAGGTGGATGGTTCCCTGTCAAGCAAGCAGCGACTGCCGCTACTCTTGCCCTAACCGGTGACACCATCGCTCAGCTTCGCGAGAGATGGGTAAAGAGCAAAACTCTCTACAACCAACAGCCTTCTGATTCTCATGAGGTCAGTTACCCCGTGGCTTATTACATCCGTACACCATGCCTTGCTTAATTTCCTTGCTTTTCTTCTCATTAGAAATCCATGCCATTTAACACCTGACTGATGCTTCGCTTTTACGGCAGTAGCATTTTCCTCTGGTTGACCGGACATAGGGTTCTTCTGAGTCTGTTTTTGGGCTCCCACTGCTGGTTAATTTCTAGCTTCTATGTCATTAGTAGGCTTCTCCGTCTGCGTTAATGAATTGCAAGTGGGTAGACTCTTGTCTACCGCCACTGTTGTTGCTGGAAAATGGGTCCTTGTGGTCCAATCTGCCTTCTTCTCTTGCAACATTATCTATGCTTTTAATGCATTATTCATGTTTTGGAAATGTTGGGTAGCACCTTCACCCCAATCCTGTCTTCGGTTGCAGGTTTCAACCTTGTGAGATAACTGGCCACCTAATTGCTACTGGACTCCCAACAGATTGTTGCATTTGGCAAGCTTCATGAACTCTGTTGTGCATTGATCTGCCCCTTTGGGTGCACAATAGTCATCATCGGAACAAATACTTTTCGTAGTCTGAGAGCAAATACTGAGCTTTTGGCAGTTGTGTCATTTGGTACCATGTTTTGTCTTGACCCCTTAACTCAAGCTATTTAGGTTACCACCAGGCTAAGGTTGTTCCCTTCAATCTCTAGCCTTATAATTTCACTGTTTGTGTTGTCCCTTGGAATTCTTCCAAATTAGTCAAAACATTGTATGCTTTAGCAATCCAGCCATAACTTCTTCAGTGTTCAAACTTCCATCAAAGATTGAAGGTTTACCTTGGCGTAATGTTAGCAGCTTGATGCTGTTGATGGCCTCACCCCATGTTAAGCATGTAGAAAACTTCATTGTTTTGTTCTTCTGAATCATCTATATGGCTGGTTGCCGCTATTGTTGATTAGGATCATGCCTTTTCACATGTGGTATGCAGGGAAAATTTCTTAACTTCAATGCCTGGGGTTTATGTCTAAGTTGAGAGCATCTATACATGGATATCTACGTGACCAAGATTCTTTTCCAAGTCATGAAGCTCCTCTTGGATAGTTGTCGATTCGGCGGTGGTTTTTCGTTCTTAATCACTTGTTTTTTCTTGGTTGTTGTAGGCGTCCTGTAATTCCAGTGTTAGCCATAGCGAGATCTTAGGCTCTAATACTAAACTGATATAGGATGGAGAAGATAGGACCAGGAAAGGGTAAATGGAGGGGAGTACTATTAGACGAAGAGCTTTTGGACGTATAAGATTGCACATGGCAGGCTTTGAGAGAAACATAGAAACCGAAGTTTCTAGGAGGAATAAACCATGTAAGGCTGAAAGATATATGATACAACTCAATATAAAAACAATAGGGTTTATAGCTTAAACGAATGCATGAAAGATAAACCAACACTTAGAGAAGTTGGGTTTCCTCGGCTTGTGCCACAAGTTGGAATACAAAATCGATGATCCCCTTCTCTGCTCCCCCAAATTATTTATAGCTAACCCCCTCCTTTTTATTCCTCTAAATAAACTAACGGAAATCATTTCAATGAAAAGATTTCCCACACACAAACTCAGGTACCTAAAATTCCCTTCACCCCTAATGAACCATTTTTGGTTCCTCATTGCATAAGACAAACGCGGGCGAATCAATATATTCTGAATGAACTATGATTTTCTATCGAGGGATCAATTTATAGGCTTGCTCTAAATTTGAACTCCAAAAATTTAGGAGATAATTGAAACTTAAAATCCAAATAACCCAAGTAACGTTTGACAATAGCAAAAACCAAAGGCATTATATGATTTGAATTTTAAAATAGAATTATAATCTTACCCTTGCTAACATAGTATTTAGCCCCTCCTATGGTAGGATGTGGAGAGGGTCCTCATCAGAGTGGATGATATCAAAAGGAGCTGCAAGGTAAGCTCATTTAACTAAAAGGGCAAGGCATGTTGTTTTACCAATTTGCAAGGAAAAGTGAAGGAGTGGGATGGACCGTGCCAAATATTCAAGAAGAAATGAGTGATTTAAGTTTGTTTGTTGATATATGACCAAGACAAGGTGCCATCTATCAATGGAGGGGGCATTGGATGCGGAAACGGAAGTTGAGCCAGCAAGGTGTGATGAGAATTTGGTGGGATATGTTATGAAATAATCACTATCAAGTCTCGCCCTTATCTTGAAATGTGGTTACCACTATTACACTTTTGGTCCCTCTGACTATCTCCGGCTAAAGAAGTCCATTAACTCACGGCCTTTTGGTCTTTTTAACATTTTTCTATTTTGTTTTATTATAATTTTGTCTCTTTTAATACCCCCACCCTTTCCTCAGTCGACAACAACACCTCCCCCTCCATCTTCTTTGACGACAACCCATCCCCTCCCCCTCTAGCCCTTCTTCTCTGATGACAACTCCAAATCAAAGCCCAAATATAAAATCAAAATCCAAATGAAAAACTAAAACGAACCCTAAAATCAGAAACTAAAACAAACCCTAAAATTAAAATCCAAATTCAAAGTATAAAATCAAAACTGAAAACCATTTTATTGTATTGAAGGTCCATTGAAGATGGTCTAAAACCCAATTAAGGGAAAGTCTACAACACTATCAACAAAACCACCATGGAAGTGAAAAAACAAAACTTGATTGGGTAGGTTATGGGTTCGATCAAATTCAGAACAAATCAAATGTTCAATGGAACTTTAGACCCTCATTGTACGATATTTCTACAGACCAAATACAAAACAAACCAAGACTCTTTCATGACTTGCAATTTTCCTTGATGTTCAATGGGTTTGAACCCTAAATCACAAGTTCCAATGAAGAAGAGGGAGGTCTTGCATCTTCTTGATGAAGAAGGGGGCTTTTTTGGTGCTTTGATGAAGAGAGGGCGCCAAAGAAGAGGGCTTCATTGACGAAGGTACTTTGATGTTGTTGTAGGCATGGGGATGATAGTTGTCAAGGTGAGAGGAGTGTTGTTGGTGGTGGTGTTGACAACTCTGAAAGGGCTTTAGTGGTGGGTTAGGGGGTGAAAGGGAGCGTCACCAATAATAGTTGTCAAGGGCAAAAGAGTGTTGCCAGAAGGGTAGAAATATGAATTCGATACTTCTTGGGGTAGGTGTGTATGATATTGTGTGCATAAATTATAAATATATGTACCAAATGAAATTAAATACATGATAAAAAGACCAAAGTACCCCTGAGTTAACAACTTTTTTAAGGGGTTGGTCTCTACTACAAACACCACTTGATTTTTTTACTCAGGTTGTAATCATAGGTTACTACACTCGGATATTTTTGTCAAAGAATGGTTGACGCATCTCATTTTAGTATTTACAATCAATGGTACTCGGTCACCGATCGATTTCGGTGGACACATGGCCATGCTACAACTTTCTCTCCCAAATACGTGTGCATTCTCAATCTTTTTTTTAATCTTATATCCATTATTAGGCAATTATGTGATACAGGTCTTACCATTACATTATCTTCTTTCGATTCTGTTGTGTTGGGCCCAAGGACCAAGTAGATTATTTCTCAAGAGTTAGATGTTTGAGTTACTCTTTCTTCATCTACCCCAATATTCCACCAAATTCTTATCACACCTTGTTGGCTCAACTTATGTTTCCGCATCCAATGCCCCTCCTTTGATAGATGGCACCCTTGCCTTGGTGATATATCAATGGATAAACTTAAATCACTAATTTTTTCTTGAACATTAGGCACGATCCATCCACTCCTATCACCTTTTCTTGAAAATTGGTAAAACAACGTGCTTCATCCTTTTAGTTAAATGAGTTTACCTTGTAGCTTCTTTTGACATCATCCACTTTCATGAGGACTCTCTTCATATCCTCCTACCATAGGTCTTAAGCCTTGGAACTTGGAGAATAGACCTAAAGATCCAACTCCAAAAGATCCTTGTTTGTCGTCAATAAGGAAGACGATATTCTTGGTGGTAGGGTTATATTTTTATAGTATACCAGAACTTTGCTCACTTTGCACATAGGCCATAGGGGGTGCATGAGTAAGGGCATGGCTGATGGCACATTTAGCCAAAAAGTTTGCAACATCCTGGTAATATGCTTTCTGTGCAATTTAGAGGAATTGTGCGATTTTTTCTTATTTTCATTAAGAAGATTACACTGTATATATATTATAAACACATGAAACCTAATAAAATAAGGAAACCTAACCAAGGGAAGAAAACAAGAAAGGCCCTGCAACTACATATCTACATATAACCCCTTATACTGTTACACCCCCCCTCATATCGGGAAGTATATGTTCATCATTTCCAGCTTGGAGCATAAGTTTTTAAAGACGGGCCGATGTAGAGCTTTGGTTAACATGTCAGTTGTTTGCATATGAGGAGTATGATTCAGGCAGATGATTTTTTATTCTACCTTCTCACATATAAAGTTTGTCAATTTCACATGCTTCATTTTGTCATGGTGGACTGGATTCTTTTCAATACTGATCACAACTTTATTGTCATAGAGTAATGAGATTTGTCCTTAGTTCTTGACCTTTTATTCTCTTAGAAGTTTCCTAAGCCACATTCCTTTACAAGTACCTTGTGACATTGCTCTATATTCTGCTTCAGCATTGCTTCTTGCAACAACAGATTGTTTCTTGCTCCTCCATGTGACAAGGTTGCCCCATACAAGTGAGCAGTATCCGAAAGTAGATCTTCAATCGGCTAGGGAACCTCCCTAATCTGCATTGGTGAATACTTTGGTCCCTCTATCGTGTCCCTTTTTGAAAGAAAGTCTCTACAATGAGTTGCCTCTATATGTTCTTCTATTGGGCTATTCATGAATTGACTTGCCATACTCACAGAGAATCCAATTTCAGGCCTAGTATGAGACGAATAGAGTTTTCCCACTAACCGTTAATACCTTCCTTTGTCAATTGGGGCACAATTTTGCTTCATGCCTATTTTGTTATAGGGATGCATTGGTGTATCACCGGCTTTATAGTCGTGTCTCCTTTAA